AGACATTTTTGAAGAACATGCATTACCACCTGTATTGATGCTGCACCCTAAGGACAAGGGACCTTTTCATCTGATTTACAGCTGAAACATCCTATATGTGTGGTCTCCCTCTATTAGAATGTGGGCTTCTTAAGAGCAGGAGTGTCTCAATTTTCTCTTTGTATCGCCAGCACTTAGCACAATGCTTTGCCCAGTGTAAGCAATTAATAAATGCTTTTTCATTTATTCATTCATTGGAGCCCAAAGTCCAGCTGTCCCTTTAGGCTTCCTAAGTCTAGACACTGGACAGAGTTACTTCTGCTTCTATCCCCTCATTCTCCTATGAATGAATCAGCCCAAGCGAGCCTACTTCTTCCTCCTCTAGTACTCCCAACAACTTTTTTCATGTTTATGGGCTGCCAAGGAAGAGGACCCTGGGTGGGCTTCAGCCCCATTTACATAATGCTGGCCAAGGCACCAAGCCTCTGATCCAACCTGGTGATCCTGACAGCATCAAATGTCTGAGAAACTTCTCCTGGGCCAGGGCTCCCTGCAGTGTTCCATGAGAGCCTACCATCCCTCAGGCTCCCCTGCTCTCCAACCCGTTCCCAGATCCTCTCAGTCTGCTCATGTCTCCCTGGGGAGCAGCCCTGGGCTGTAACTTCAGAGAGGCTAGACCGTCCTTCTTTCTTCCCCTGCAGCCCTGTCTCCTGGGGATCCGATCCAACCTCCCTTCCTCTTCTCCACAGGCCCAGCTTTGTCAGAATAGGAGCTCTGTCCTCTGATGAAGCTCACCATGCCCCCTCACTCCCTACCCTTTCAGCAAAAGGAAACAGCCCTAACTCAGTTCCCTCCCCTCTACTCTCTAGCCTGTTAGGGTTGGATTTCTAGCAGAACCCTGTCCCAGAGTGTTTGGAGAGGAAAGACCCAAGGAAGCACAACTATGTTTTCTGGGGAGGGTGGATACTCTGTATGCCGCCCCATCCCCAACTACAGCCCAGGCTCAGGCAAGTGATTCCACCCTGACTAGTTGGGGTGTACAGGGGGCCTTATATCCTCATTCTTCAGTTGCAACATTGGAATTTTTCCACCCTTTGGGTGTAAGATTTCTTCTCCTCACAGTAATTGTCCCTTTCCCCATCCCTACCTCCATCTCTCCATATCTGTCAGTTTCCTTCCTCACATGATGACCCCTCCCTTTCTCCCCATCCAACTCCCTGTCCCTTCTCATCTGTCCCTCTCTCCTATCCATCCCTGTCTCCCTTTCCTTCCCCCTCCCTCCACATCTCAGTTTCCCTCCATGTTTCTCTCTCCATATTTCCCTTTCTTCCCATCACCTCCCTCTCCCCATCTCTGTCTCCCTCTTCCACTCTCCAAATAAGTTTCCCCCTCCTTCTCATCCACTTCCCTTTCACTCTCTTCCTATGTCATTCTCCCTCCTGCTCTTGCTTCCTTCTCCGTCTCTTCCCATTTCCCTCCCCATGTTCCCCTCCCTGCCTAAGCCTCCGTTTCCAGCTGTTTCCTTTCCTCACTGTCCCTCTCCCTCCCAATGTTTCCTCTTCATCTTTCCCCATTTCTATTTGTCTCCCTCCCCATGTTGGTCTCTCTTATGTCTGCTTCCTGTTTCCCCAACTCCATTTTCCTCTCTCCCCATCTATCTCAGTCTCTATTTCCCCATCTCTGCTTCCCAGTTTTCTTTTTTAAATTTTTTTTGCTTCCCTCTTTTCTCCCATCTGTCTTTTTCCCTGCCCATCTTCCTCTCTTCTCCCCATTTGTCTCCCTCTTCTTTCCTTCTTGAACTCCAGCTGTGTCCCCTTCCATTTTCCCCATCTCTCTCCCTACTCCTCTCTCCAAATCTCTGCATCCCTCTCCATTTCCCTTTGTCTCTCCCCATCTTTGCCTCCTTCTCCCTCTCCACTCATTTCTCTCCCTCTCTTCATTTCTACCTTTCCTTCTCTCTTCCCCACCTGTTTCCCTCTTCCTCTGTCCCCAACTCTGTCTCCCTCTCTCCTGTCTCTTTCTTATTCTCTAAATATCTCCTCTCCGTGTTTCCTGTTGTTTCTCTCCATCTCTGCCTCTCCACCTGTTTCTTTCCCCTTCTCTCAAAATCTTTTCCCCTCTCTCCCTGTCCTTGTTTCCCTCTCCCTCTCTCCCCAATTTTAACTCCCCTTCCTTCTCTCCACCTGTTGCCCTTTCCCACTCTCCAGCCTCTTTCCTCCTTCCTTTTCAAATCTCTCACTCTAATCTCTGTACCCCTCTTCCTTTTCCATCTCTCCCTCTCCCGATCTGCTTTCCTATCCTTTTCTCCCATCTTTGTCTCCCTCTTCTTCTACAAATCTCTGTAAGCCTTTCCTTTTCTCCCTGTCTCCCTTTGCCTCAGTTCATCTCTGCTCCTCTTTCCCTCTTACCCACTACCTGTCTCTCTCCAAATGTCTCTTTCCCTCTCTATCCACCTATTTCCCTCTCCCTCACTCCCCAATTGTCAACCTTTCTCCTTTCTACCTCCTTCTTTCCTTCTTTCTCCAAATCTGTGTCCCTTTCCCTCCCTCCCCATCCTCCTATTCCTTTCCCCACCATTCTCTCTTTCTCCTCTCCTTTCTCTTCGTAGCTGTTGTGCTCCCTAGGTCCCTTCCCTCCATCATCTCTCTACATTTTCCTACAGTTATCTGCCTTCCCCTTACCTTGGAGCCTTCTCCTGTTGAACTTTGGTGTGTATGTTCAAAGAGCTCATTTGCATACCACTCCCATCCCCAGATGAGTCCATCCTCACCTTAGGGATGTAGACTGTGGCATCCTGTCACTTCACTGGATCATGGGATCAGCATGCCCCCTTTCACTCTAACTGTACTGTAGCATTGCTGTGTGGTTTAGGTTGAGTTTTTTTATGAAGTTCTTTGGGGGGGGGGGAGTCAGAAGGGAGCACAGTGCTGGGGCCAGAGTGGAGGTGTATGAATGGAATGCTTCCCCTGGGTGGAGAAAGAAAGAAAAGGGTCTGAGAAGGTCTAAGACCTCTGAGAATCCACCCCTATCTCAAACCATCCAGGACCTAGCCTCCTAGCTCTAGAAAGGGGATGGGACTTCGATATATGGAAACAGGAGCTCTGTCTTTTCCTGGTAGGGTAGGGGCTAAGCAAAGGTTCTAATCCACTGTGACAGGCTATTTTGAGAGATCTTCATAATCCAATCTAAATCCCATGGGCATGAGCAATGGGACAGAGTGAATGAGGACAACCACTCTTTTGGAGAGGGATGGGGAAAGAGTTGAAAGAAGGGATTCAAACCCCACTGAGGTCCCCAAGGCTAGTGGCTCTGTTCCTACAATCCAGTGGACCCCATGAACTTCCCCTGGTGCCCCTCATTCCATCTCTCCACTCTGGAAAGAAAGGCAGAGGGTGGGTGGATGGGGGAAGGAGATAAGGCAAGAAGCCCATTCTTTCTCTGAGTACTTATAGCCCATACACACACACACACACACACACACACACACACACACACACACGTTCACCTGTTCCCTTGGCCCCATTTACAGCCCCATCAAGTCTCCAAAACAATGGGCTTAAAGCATGAAGTGGTAGTGGTGGAGTCCCCTGCTTGGAGAGGGGGGTGGTGCAGAGAGAAGATGGGGACATGGGGGGCAAGGTTGTGGGGAGGAATGGGGAGTACCCTGTTTGGAGGTGAGCTGCAAGTTCAAGTTGCACATAAAAGTATCAAAGAAACAGGACAGTTTCTGCCACTGGCAGATGGAGGAGAGGAATGTTGTCTCTGGGCCCCTCTTCCACTCTCCCTCCCCCATCCCTGCCAACAAAAGAACTGAGAATTCTGTGCTGTACAAAATGGGCCCAGACCAGGGGGCAGGTGAGGGGTATTGAGGCTGGGCCCAGTCTGTGGAGCAGTCCTCCCAAGACGGGATCAGGAGGAGATTGGAGCCCAATCCAGAATGAAAGCAATCCCCTTCCCCCCCTGCCCAGGTCCTTGTTCTTGTTCAGCGTGAAAGGGCAAGAAAGGGAGACAGGGGTCCTGGACATAGGGAGATGGAGGAAAAGCTGTCCAGGACCTTTCCCCGGACTCTCTGAATCTTGGCAGTTAATTAAGTTGATCTTTTTGTCTTGACACAAAGCTGCAGTTGTCTGGACCCCAGTGAAAGCAGTGGGGTCAGTGGCCAGTGGGATATTGGGTGAAGAGAGGAGGGGGTGAATGACCCCAGGACTCCATGCTCCCTCCCTCCAGGCAGGTCATCTTCATCTTAGGTGAGCTGGCTGGGGAGAGCAGGGTCTCGGGGAGGCCGCCCAAGGGAGGTTGGCAGCATCTGAGGCTTCGAGGTGCACGTCACTGAACCGTCGTTGGCAGAAAAAGATGGGAAAGAGTCCAGTCCGGGGCCTCCAGAGAGGGCAAGGCCCAGTGGCAGCATCTCTGTTATGTTCTGGGAGGGGGGGAGTGGGAGGGGTTGGAGGGGGGCCAGGACAGAGGGAGTCAGCACCAGGCGGGGCAGCCCCCAAACTGAGAACTGAACCTGCAGTTGTGGGTGGGGACCCTAGAGGGCCAGTGCCAGGAAGGGAGTGGGAAGGGGAACCCCAGAAGGATAAAGGGGTTTCCCCTATGATATGGAACCAAAAGATTTGGTCACTGAGTCACCATTGGTGATTGCAAATTTTGTGGCCTGGGAGTAGGCCTAATATGGCCCTGATGCCTTCAGTGAAGTTAGAGTGGACAATGGGGAAAGGAAACCCAGAGAGGCTCAAGGGAAGTCTGGTTCTCTTTAAAGTCCAGTGTCATTGGGAACCAGAACCCAGGCCTTCTCTGGGTCCAGAGGGAAAGGCCTGTGTGAGGTCAGGAAGCCACCCCCATCTGCTCCCTTGGCCAGGACTAGAGATTGGGAGGTAGGCAGGGAAAGGCAGGAGGGCAGCCCAATTGTGAGAGTAGTCTGATGTCAGGGTCTGCCCCAGGGGTTCAAATGGAGGGATCAGGGAGGGAGGGTTGGACAAGTTGAGCTCATATCATTGTCTGGCTTGAGATCCTGCCTTTCAGGGTCCCTGTGAGTGAGAAACTGGACAGGGGAGAACCCCCCACCCTGGGACCTCCCCACCAGGCCGTAACACAGAACTTACCGCAGAGCCAACAAAATCTACAAAGGTAGCCGGGTCGGGATGGGGTGGGGGGAGAGAAGAGAAGGTAGAGAAACAGACAAAAAGAGACAAAGAGAGAGTTAGATAGACTTTCTGAGCCCCATCCCAGCTCTGCCTCTCAAATGAAACTAAGCATTCAGGACCCACACGTGAAAGGTAGGACTGTGGGGGCGAAGGTTCTGAACTAGAAACCTGAAGGATAAGAATTCTCCTCCTTTAACCCATCCCAACCTTTGCCCTTTAGATTGGGTGCTGGAAATTCCCCAGTTTTCAGGAAGGGCTAGTCTCTCAGAAATATTCCCCTTATAATACATGTTCATTGCTACCCCTCAGAGATCATCTGGACTAACACTCTCATTTTACAGGTGAGGAAACTGAGGCCTAAAGTGGGAAAGTAACCCCCTCAAGACCACACAGTTTACTAAGGAGCAGATCCAGTAATTATACCCAGGTCTTCTGATTCTCTTTCCAGGACCCTCTGTACTACAGGCTGGGGAGGAAATCAAGGGAAATGTAGACAGCTCTATCACATTCCTCAATGGGTTCTGGCCTATTTAGGTCCAGGGTCTGTTTGACTAGTCTCACCTTGAGGCCGCAGCCCCTTTACATAAGCTCAAGGGACCCTTCTCTAAATTCCCATGGCTGGCTTTGGCCCTGAACATGCACTTCAGGGGTGAACACCAGAGGAAGTCATTCTCTTCTAACCCATCCCCAAGGAGGGCTGTCCTGGTGATCTGCCCCTTCAACCCAGGCCTGTGCTGGAGCCAATGTCAAATTGGACAGGCCTATGTCAAATCTTCAGTGTAAGCATTTGCACCTCAGAAACCTGCATGCACCACATAACACGGCTTGATTTATTGTTTTGTTGCTTGACTGGACTCAGAAAAGTGATAGAAAAAATAATAATGCAGATTAAACATAAAAGTGTGTAGTATGTACAGTTCCCCTCCCCCCATAGAGCTGGTTGTTAAACACTTATCAGCACATCCCTGCCTCAACCATTATCATCTAAAAGGAATATCCAGTACAGAGGACAGAGATTGTGTAGACCCTACCCTCCACCGTCCAGAGGAAATATTGAAGTACATTAATATTCACAAGGGGATATGTCATTTTATAGAAATAGTGACATGAGCAGAAGCAGTTTTGAGTAACTGTGCACAGTTTTTCTCTGTGTTGCAGAAGAGACATTTTTGAAGTTTCATTTATTTAATGGTGCAAGATTATTTTAGAAAAAAATCTGACTTTTGTTATATAATATAATAATATAATAAACCTTCCCTACTCCTCCAAAATAAAAAAAAAATAGTTGGGGAGGATCCTGAGAGGCTTGGGTGAGGCTCAGGGTAGAGGGAGAATGGATGGTGAGGTATGTGCTGAATCAGTATCTAATTAACTCAGTGATTTGAATAACTTCTCCTTTCTGGATTTCAAAACTTCATCCATAAAATGAGGGCTTTGGATTCACTGGCCAATCTCTAAGGTCCCTCTCAACTCTGACTGTCTATGTTCTATGCTTCAAGGCCCAGCAGATATAATTCACTCCATTCCAAAAGCAAATCTATTTTTTTTCCCTCATCTGGGGTTTTGGATTGCCCATGTCCCTTTTGCCTTGTCAGTTCAAAGAATGAAGAGTTAGCTTGGCGGACTTCTTGGTGGAGACAGCTCATGATTTCAAGTCCGTTATGGCTCAGGGTGAGTGGACAGAGTGTCTAGGGGCTGCTGAAGCTGTGTGGACTGACTGGCTGATCACTTAGGAGAAGCAAGGGTAGCTTGGGTCAGAGGGGAAAGTGAGTGTCCTATGAGCCCAGGGATAAAACTAGAAACAGAATAGGAGAGGGAGAGAGCCCCAAGCGGGAACACCGAGACCTGTCTGCGGCTGACTTGTGGGAGAGACCAGAGCAGCTAAGCGCTTGGAGGCCAGGAGTGGGGAGGAAAAAGAGGAGGCTCAGTGGGCCAGGAGAGCTAAGATCATAGAAGAGTCCATACAAAGGATAAAGTTAGCTCAGCCATTCTGCCTCAGCTGCCAGGCAAAGAACTCTCAGGTGTGGGTGACTAGAAGGATTATGGGCTTCTCCTGAAAGATGGCCCAAACCAGATGGTCCTGGGTTAGAATGAGATAGTCCCTACCGACCCTGTCTGAGAAATCATGTGATAATAACAGCTGCCGTTTCTCTTGGCATTCAGGTTTATCGAGCCCTCTGCTTCCATACATCACGCCATTTGAGAGCCAACATTGGAGAAGCAGCCTAGTGCAATCGATAGAGTGCTGGCCTCAGAGTCACAAAGACCTGGGTTCAAGTCTTGCCTCTGACAAATACTGGCTGTGTGACCTTAAACAAGTCCCTTCCCCTCCCCGTGTCCCCACACCACTTGGGAAGACTCAGGGTCACGGAGGTGTTCTAGCTGTTTTGGTAGGGGGAGCTCTCTCACATTGAGTTCCCTACTCTGATGAAATCACTAGTCCAGAAAAAAACAACCACAACCACTCTTTTGAACCTGTGACACAAGTAGTACAAATGTTATTATTCCTGTTTTGCAGATGAGGAAGCAGGTCCAGAGAGCAGGCCCAAAGGAAAGAGAGATGTGTTGGGGTCAGAGCACCTAGGTTCAAATCTCAGCTCGGCCACTGTGTGACATGGGCAAATCACTCCTTCTCTGTATATGTGCGTTTCCTCATTTGAAAAATGAAGGGTTTGGGCTGAATGACCTCTAAGGTCCCTTCCAGATATCCTGTGAAGTGACGCAATCACGACAGGCAATGGGACAATCCAGGTCTTCTGACTCACAAATCAAGGGAGTAAAATGTCCATTCTAGGGACTAGTCTGTCCTCGTGATCAGACCCCAAGACAGAGCCTCAGGGCATCGCTTCTATGCCCCCCTCAGACAAGAGCTCAGAGCAGGGATGGCTCCGGCGCACAAGTGGTCCAAGGCTCCCCTGCTCTTATCTCTGTCAGGCCGAGGGAGACATATTTTTTTCCTCTCTAAAATGAATCTCTGTGCTGGCAGACAAGCCCTACAAGAATGGCCCTGCTCCCCATCCTCCCGTCCTCCCCTCCCACCTTTATCCTCTGAGCTCTCCTCAGAATTCAGAGCTCCGAGGAGAGCTCCTGGAGTACAGAGAAACCCTTCCATGTCGGCCGGAGCTCGGCCAGTGGCGAGCACCCCGGACCGTGTGTCCCTCCCCACTCACCTTTGCTCTCTGTCTTGAGTTCGTCCTGCAGCAAGTCGCTTTGCCGGTTACCCAGCACAAAGGCGAGGAAGGAGAGGATGAGGGCATTGAGGATACCAATGATGGCCAGGATGTATGCCCAGCGCACAGAGCAGTCCCCCAGAGAGTACTTCCCTGTCTTCTGCCCACACATATCCCGGATGGTCTCCGCATCCCAGCCATCGGGGAAGATCATGCAGCCCAGGACCAGGCATAGAGCTGGAGGAAAGGGAGGACCAGGCCCCCGAGGCAGCCAGGGAGGGGGGAGAAAAGAGATTCATTACCTTTGCTACTCACAAAGGCCAGAGTCACCCAGAGCCTGCTCTTCAAACTGTGGAGGCATGACTCCATCCAGTTAATGGCAGTGGTTATTCAGGGAGCTGCCTTTCCCTAGGCACCTTCAATTTACCCTTTCTATATCCTGTATCTACATATTTATGTACATGTTTCTCCCACTAGGATGCAAACTCCTTGATGGCAGGGACCGTGTTTTTGCCTTTTTTATGTGTCCCCAACACTTAGCCCATTATCTGGCACGTAGTCAACACTTGACAGATGCTTGTTAACCAGCTTCCAGGAACAGAAACCTGTGTTGACCCTGCAAAAGGCTTTTTTATCAAGTCACCTCACCTCATTTAAATGACTATTGAAATCTCCTGTCTCTTGACGTTGCTCTGGATTGACCGGAGATGAATTACCCCATCCGCTCTGATTGTGGAAATCTCCCCCCTCTTCTCTACTAAACACTTGACTTTAGTCAGCTCCTCGTCCTGAAAGGTACTTAAGAGCCTTAAAACCTGCTTGCCTGTGTATTCACAGCCCCTGGTTTCCTGTTTCTGTCCTTTTGGCTCCATGTCCCCCACTGTCTTAGAATGGAAGCTCCCCAAAACCAAGAACCCTTCACAAATGCTTTTGGAAAAGAGGATGAAGATGACGGGGATGGGGAAGAAGAGGAAAAGGAGCAGGAAGAGGAAGATAGTTTTGATTCTGGCCAGTGCCAAGGACAGCTCTCCTGGTCTCCAAGGTGATGGAGACAGTCAGTGGAGCTTTGACTCCAGGATGGGGCTCCTTTCTACAAGGCGGTCTGTGGACTCTCCCCAATCCCCACTGGCCTTTTAGAACTTGTTAGCCCACCTCGAACCATCACATCCATCCAATGCATCTCTGGTCATCAGGAGGTAAGGGAGACAAAGAGGAGATGCCCCCAACCTCAGGCTAACTTTAAAGTTACCTCTCATTATCCCCAACCTACAAAACTCCTGTCCCCTATAGCTTACTCCAGGAGTCTTCAACCTAATAAGAATACCAAAAAGTCAATTTATTTATACACCCCTGGTATCCTTTCCAGGCCCACAACCTCCCCTGAGGTCTCCTATGAGGCTGCCTTTACCCCACCAGTATTTACCCCCACCACTCATGATAATAGGGTGTGGGTTGGGGGCAGAGGAAGTCAGATCCCTTAGAAACAGGAAAAGTAAAGGTCATTTGGTGGGAAGTGGGCCTGGGAGTGTCAGAACCAAAGGCTGGAAAGAAGAGCAAGTAGCCATGCTTGCTTCCTTAGCTTCTTCTTTCCTGGTTCCCTTCCTCCTCCTGACCATGCTTCTCCTCCCCTCCTTTCCTGCTTCTCTTCTCTGCCCCACCCTCCCTCTCCTCTACTTCCCTGTTTCTCCTCTCCCTACCTCCACTTTCCCCATCACCCTTCCTCTAGCTCTCTACATGGCATGTCGTCTGCTTCCCCTACCTGTCACTGCTTCTCTTCCCTTCCCAAATTGGACACTGAGAGCTCTCCTTCATTCCTATTCTCAAGGCCAAGGTCACCAAATCCTATGGGGGGAGAGGGAAGACTCCTGGTCCTGGAGAGAATGGGTCCTAGGGGAGGAGGGGACAGTCAAAGCTGGCCTCATACAAGCGCACCTTAGACACCATACAGCCCAGGCCTTCTCATCTTCTTTCCTCAATCCATCTATCCCCATTCTTGACTTCCTCACGAATCCTCCACACACACACACACACACCCCCCCCCGTGCCTGGGCTGGGTGGGGCTGGAGTGGGCTGGGAGAGCTGGAATAAGACCCTTCGGAGGAAGAAAGGACCCTAAGCCCCAGAGGTAAAGGGCTGGGGCTGCAGTCACACATCACTCTCCTAGTGAGTGAATTCCTATCTCCATGGAAACAGCTGCCAGCGCACTCCCAGCTCACTGGCTTGGGTCGGCAAGCTGCCAAGCTTCCACATTCAACTCCTCTCCTTCTGAACCCTGCTTCTCCTCCCTTTCTCCCTCCCCCTCTCAAATCACTCCCTTCAGTCTTTTCCTTTCCATCTCTCTGTCTTGTCTCTCAGTGGAATTCTCACTTCCTTGCCCTGATCTCTTAATATTTCTCTCTCTCTCCCCCTATTTTTATCTATTTCTCTATCACTGTCTCTTTTTCTTTGCAATATCTCTATCTTTTTATGAGTTTCTATTTCTCCATCTCCCTTCCTCCCTCTCCCTCTCCTCTTTCTCCATTCCTTCCCCCTCTCTTTCATCTATCTATCATCTCTATCTATCCAGCTCTAGCCATCTGTCTGTGTTTCTGTTTCTCTTTGTCTCATCTGTAGGGCATCAGGGAATAAACACTGGCTCCCAAGTTCCCTGTTGGGTTTTGAGAACATTTGGTGGATAGAGAGAGGAAGGAGCCTAGCTCTTGCTCCTAACCAGTCCCCCTTAGACAATGAAGCCAGCACTACCTTGACCCTGGGGTGGCCTACCAGACTTGAGATGACCCAGGCCAGGCCAAGATTCCTAGAGACAGAAACAATCCACTGGGGGCTCAACCAGGATAGATAGCCCTGTAGCTCACATCTTGTCCTCCATCACAGATCTGCAGGTTCTTCTCCCTGACCCAAATAGCCTTGGGTTTGGAGACTGTATTCCTCCTGGGGAGCCCAACTATTAGGATCCTTTTGCTGGAGTCCTGCTTACTACCAGGAGAGGATGATGGTGGTAGTGGTAGTGATGCTATTGCTGCTGCTGCTGGTGGTAATGATGACAACCTTTATCATGTTAAAATCCCTTCCTTCAGTTATCACCTCCTCCATGAAACCTTCTCTGATCACCTCCAAATGGAAATGATTCTTCTCTCCCCAAGTCTAATAGTACTTTGTTAAGATCTCTCCTTTGAAGTTAGCAATGTTCTGATTTGTGTAATAGTGCTGGAATCTCAGAATCAAAGAGTTGAAAGTGACCCAGAGGTCAAGTGCAACCAGTATCTTGTCTATGACAATTATTGGTGTACCTGTCTTATCTCCCTTACTAGACTGTAAGCTCCTTAGGGAGAGGTCCTGGGGCCCTGGGCACCCAGTGTGGCCTTACGCATCCTTAACATACATTTGGTGAATTGTGGGTGTCATCCCTTAGTAATCTCACTTGCAAGTTACAGCATTGCTATCAGAAAGCAGCCATTAAAACATGCATAAGAAATCAAACAACCATACAGTGTCTGAACTCAAGGGGACCTTCAAGAACATCTAGTCTAGTTTTCTCCTATTATGAGAGGGCAGAACCAAGGCTTGACAATGTGACATGACCTGCTCAAGGTCAGACCTGGGAGAACAAACACATTCACCCATGAACCCCCTTTCTAATGAACACCGTAGCCCAGATTGGCAGGTTTATGGAAGAGAACAGGATCTGCAGGGAAGACACAGGATGAGGAAGTTAGGAAGAGGGCAGGAAGGAGTGGAGAGAGGGATAAATCTGGGGTGCAAAGGTCCAATCTGGGTCTTGCAGACTGGTGGGCGGTATCCCAGTTCTGACACTTAGTGGCTGTGTGACCATGAGCAAAACACTGAATCTATCTGAGCCTCCATCTTCTCACATGTAAAATGGGAATAAGAATACCTAGAGTATTCATCTCATAATGAAATAATATAAGTAAGCCAGTTTGCAGACTTTGAAGTACTCCCTAAATATAAAAAGGGTTTAATGGTTAAAACTGTACTAAGACCTTTGGGATCCTCTCTGTTTCGATGACGATGGAGGTCGCAGGGCTGAGCAGGTTGCACCAAACAGCTTAGACCCAAAGAGGAAGACTGGATATGAACTCCATCTGCAACCCTAGTTCAGCAGATCATTTCCTGTCCCCAGGACTCCTGCTTACTCCATTTTTTTGTTCCATCTTTAGTTCTCCCCTAACTCATTCCTTTCTCACCCTTTTCCCCATGACCTACAGCAGCATCTCACTCCTTCCTCTTTCTTCTGCACCTTTTCCACGAAGCCTTCCTTGATCACCCCTAATTAGAGGGGATTTCTCTCTGTGTCCGATGAACTGCTGTAGCATTTTGTGTCATATATGTGGCCATCATCCTGTAAGGCCTTGAAAGACAACTATTACATATATATATACATGTTTATGTGTGTATACATACATCTTTATGCACACATGTGCATTGTGTATATAAACATGTATCTGCTAATATATGTTTAACCACATTTTCTATATCACTTTAAGTCTAAACAATCAGTAAAAACAATGTGTATGTACATGTTTGTATATATACGTATACTTACATTTATATATGTTTGTATACGTGTATGTGTGTGTGTATATATATATATATACATATACACACATATATATGTATATATCTTATTTAACTGATCTCCCTCCTAGATTATATTTCCTTGCAGACAGGAGCCAGGCCTTTTCTGGTTCTTTCTCTTTCTACCCATAGCACTTTGCATATAGGAAGTGTTAGATAGTCATTAAATGGATGAATGGTGTAATGAAACCCCAGATTTCTGGTTCTAGTCCTGGCCCTATCACTGGCTCATTTGGTGACCTTGGAAAACTTACTTTCCTTCTCTGGTCCTCAGTTTCTTCATCTGCAAAATTAAGGGGTTGAACTTGATGCTTCCTAAAATGCCATGAATCTGTTAAATGAATGAACATTTTCATGTCTACATATTCCAGCATCTTTTCCTTCTCCCAGGCATTCGTGACACTAGTTTATGCTATGTTCATTGCTATTTCTGATAAGCCTTCTTCAATTTGTTTCATGCTTGTTTCTTCCATCCCTCCTTAGGCTAAAAACCCTTCTGTGCCTTCTATGTGGCATCTCCCTGCTCAGTGACTAGTACAGGATTTTGCTGGCAGTAGTAAGTGGGTAAGATATTTACCTCCCCATAGGTACTGTCATCTCCCAGCAGGCAAAGGTTATGTCTTTTTGTAAATTTCAGTTAA